TCTAGGCCTGAAACGTCAGCCTTCCTGCTCCTACGATGCTGCTTGGCCTGCTGTGTTCATCCAGCTCTGCACCTTGTTGTAACAGACTTAATAACCCTAAATCCCTTTTACTGACAGAGCCTTATCTTAATCCTTTCTAAAAATTTCTGAAATTGCTCCCTTGCCTGTGTTCGGTTCTGCCTATATTTCAGATACAAGAATGCCTTAGCATTGTATTTTTCCTATTGTGGCCTTTAGTTCATAAATGTGACCCACAAGGGGAAGAAATTGGAAAATCACTTGGAATGAGAAGCCTAAGTTGCCAACTCAGGGCTGATCCCTAACTGATCCACAGTTGGATCCTGAGGGCGGGGAGGAGATGAACATGGGAGTGGGGAATCCGAGCTGGGCTGGTAGCAGCTGCAGGCCTCTCACAGAGCCAGGATTAGCAATCCTGTTCCTCATAGAAACATGAAAAAAAACCTTTTCCTGCATCTCTATTGTATCAGGCAGCTGTCGACAGGGAATTGAAAGAACACAAGCTCCTCCTGGTGTTTGAGTGCAATAAATACACTATGGGCCAAAATACTGATATAAAGTCATCCAATAGTGTTCAGTGGCAGACCAGAAAAAATCCAACTGTCCAGTACAAAACCAGATATCTGACCATCCTTATATCTAGCCAAAATTTACTTCATGACCACCAATTTAGCTTCCATTAATCAGACATAATCTCTCCGCCATTTCTTTTGTATTCATTCACGGGATGAGGGCGTCGCTGTCTGGGCAGCATTTGTTGCCCATCCCTAAATGCCCAGAGGACAGTTCAGAGTCAAACACATTGCTGTGGGTCTGGAGTCACATGGAGGCCAGAATGGGTAAGGATGGCAGTTTCCTTCCCTAAAGGACATTGGTGAACCACGTGGGTGTTTCCTGACCATCGGCAATGGTTTCACAGTCATCATTAGACTCCTAATTCTAGATATTTATTGAATTCAAATTCCACCAGCAGCCATGGCAGGATTCGAGCCCTGATCCCCAGAACATTATCAAGGTCTCTGGGTCAATAGTCCAGTGATAATACGACTAGGCCATTGCTGCCCCATTGGTTTAAATTCTCTTTTTAATACAGGAGCCAGCTATGATTCAACTTGTCCAAAAGTTTCATCGTTTTCAACTATTCGACAATACCTTTTAAGTCTTCCCTTCTCAGGACATTAACAAAAAGATGATTTAGGGAAGTCAATTTTTCTTCAGACCGAGAATTTTGATTTCACTAAACATTGACTGTCTCACACACTGTTGCCAGTGTCCACAAATGCAACAATGGGGAAGCTGGCTGGGATCCTAAGGGTACGTAGTGACAAAATGGAAGTCTGAGAGTCTAACAGCAGTAATAGTGGAGCATCAACCCATGAACAATCGAATGACTTAAGATGCAGAAATGGTATGGAAACTGGAATTTTAATTAAAAAAACACAAATACTCTACTGCTCGCTGCAAAGAATACAGTAGCTGTTTGCACAAGTGATAGATGGAGATTGGCTCTGGCTGGAAAAGTGGCAACTTTAAAATGGTCATTCTGTGTATGAATATAAATAGTAATCATTTCCAGTAACCATGGTTGATGTGATTAGACATAAGCACAGTCCGAAATTTACACAATTATTATGTGCATGCAAAGCTATGCTTCTGAAGGCAGCTGCTACCTGATACAACAATCTCTCAAAGTTTCGTGATTCACGAGTAAAACAGGTTTCTGATCAGATATCTCCTAGGAATTGTGTGTTTTTGAAATCATGCTAATTATAGCAATGGCCAGAACTATCACACCAGCGGTGGCTCCAGTCACTACCCCAAAGAGAGAACCATGAATCTGTACTTGTTCACAGTGCTCACCAAAGTACAAGTGTGTTTGAGTAGAGCCACATCTGAAACAGAACAGTGAGAAATATTACTCTCTGTTACCAAAGCTAAAACCATTTTGAGCTGTAACAAATAAGTCTGAGAACATGGATTCAGGTTGTACCCAGCATGATGAAGTTCCGTGTTCATAGAGTGATAGGATGATTTAGCACAAAGGGAGGTCAGTTTTGAGACATATCGTCTGTTTATTTAGTAGCAGAATTTCATCCAGTGGCCTCACCCTGAACAAGCATCTTTTATGAGGTGGCGATAATTTATTTTTGCTTGCATTGGGTTTTCCTGCCTGAATCTTATTTGAAGTTGACAATGAAGGTGGAAAGCATATTAAGACAAACTTCTCCTTTGCACTCAGTCTGGAAGCGAACACCTGAGCGCAGGCCCAAAGATACTTGGGGTTGAAGGAGTCACATGCCTGGGGTGGAATTTAGTGCCCTCCCATGAGGTGGGCTCAGTGGCAAGGGGCATTTCATCAGGTGGGAGGATGGCAGTTGGAAACCCTGCTACCTTCTTCCCTTTGCCCCAATTACATCCAGAGTGGGAAGGTTCTTGTCTGGACTTTTTGCCCCAGTGCCAATGTGGGTCTGTAGTTGACGTTTAATGTTGACGCAATTAATGCCCACTTCAGTACCTTATCATGGTATTAACCCAACAGCAGATAAAGGGTCTCCCCCAAGCTGGAAGTCTGGAAAACACAACCTATTGGAGTGTGTGAGCTTGTGGATATAGTGGCAGTGGTGGAGGGAGGAGGTGACCTGCCCCCCACCACCACCACCATTCAAAGGTGATCATTGGCTAACCGTGGGACTTGGCATCACCCACGAAGAGCAAGTCCCCCGTCATTGCTGCAAATCCATTCCCCATTACCCGCATCGTGCCATCTCTTGGGCCTCAGTTAAGGTGCAATGCCAACAGCTGCCAACCCACCCACAGTGCAAAGGTGCCAGCTTCTTCTGGAATTCACCACTGCTCAGAGTCCTTGATCCTGAGCAAGGTTCTCCGCTAGCCAATCACACGCCTATGGGGCTTCCCCGAAAGAAGGTGACGTGGGCACCTTAGTGACCCTTTAGCTGGTAGCAAGCTCCCGTTACCTCCATTAAATACCTTCCCATGGAATTCTCCACTTTTATTCCATGTGCAACCTCACAGACAATTATTTAATGTGAACAAAACGTGAAAATCTGCACCACCAGCATCTATCGCCAATTCAAAAAGCTGTACAGGTGCCAGGTAGCTTTAGATCAGGAATCCGACGAGTTTGAATCCTGATATCAACTTTTAAAATTAGCTTCAAAACTGAGAGCTTTTAATGGCCATATACAAAGTATTTTATAACATCATAAAAGTTGCTCAATAACTGGAATGAGATACCAACCAATTCCTTTCCTCAGAATATCTTCACCCAAGTTCGGGAATCTCCACCTACCTGCAACTTGCTTTCCCTTTTGTCATAACACACACTCCACCATTTAGACAATATCCAGGGTCACAGAAATCTAGCAAGGGTCTCTGAGGCTCTTGGACATATCCAGCATAATCCACTGCTCGCCGATGCCTTTCATGAAAGCTTTGGAGACGAATTGGAACTTCAGACTTAATGAGTGGAGTCAGATCTTTAAAAAGAAAACATTTAAGTTCAGTAAACGGAATGCACAGATTGATAACAGTTCCCCTCTCTATTTTACTATGCTCTCCTGAGTTGTTCTCAACTTTTATTCAACAGAAACTATTCGCTATCCAATTGAACTCTCCAGTGGCATAAATCTTCAGAACAGACCCTGAATAGTGAAAGTCAAAAAAGTTGTGCGACAATAGTAGGCATCATTTTATTTTGTTGTTAATATCCAGCGATATCCCAGAGGTTAAGGATACTATTAAGTTGGAGAAGGTGCAGAAAAGATTTACCAGGATGTTACCGGGACTGGAGGGTTTGAGACATAAGGAGAGGCTGGATAGACTGGGACTTTCTTCCCTGAAGAGTAAGAGGTTGAGGTTATATAGGTTTATAAAACCACAAGGGGCATAAATAAGGTGAATGGCAAAGGTCTTTTCCCCAGGGTAGGGGAGTTCAAAACTAGAGGGCATATGTTTAGGGTGAGAGGAGTAAGATTTGAAAAGGACCTGAGGGACAACATTTTCTCACAGAGGGTGATTCGTATGTGGAATGAACTGTCAGAGGAAATGATTAATGCAGGTACAGGTACAGCATTTAAAAGACATTTGGACAGATAGATGATTAGGAAAGGGTTAGAGGGATACGGGCCAAATGCTGGCAAATAGGACTAGGTTAGTTTGGAAAACTCGTTAGCATGGACTGGTTGAACTGAAGGATCTGTTTCCGTGGTGTATGACTCAATGACTGTATCTGTGACTGTATAAATGTTGTACTACAAGAGCAGTTCAGGGGCTGGTAATTCTGCGAAGTGTAACTGAACTCATTGAATTCAGCTGCGGACTATTGGTGGTAGAGGACAGTGTAGTGTGAGTGACTGACACAGATTTCTGCAGCAAAGAGCAAGTTCTGTTATCTGCCCAGCACTATCATTTGGACTATCTGCTCTGGGCTGGAGAATGACTTGAAATGGGATGGGTAGATCCAGTGGTTGTGGTACATGTCAACATAAACAAAATATCTAGAAATAGAAAAGAAGCTCTGTTTAGGCAGTATGAAAAGTTAGGTGCTAAATTATAAAGCAGAACCTCAAAAGTTAACAACGTCTAGATTATTACCTGAGCCACATGCAAATCGGCATAGGGTAAATAAGATTAGAGAAATTGATGTGTGGTCTGGTGTGAGAGAAGTGGGCTTCATTTTGAGGAAAATTGGCACTAGTACAAGGGTATATGGGCTGTGTATCATTGGAACAATATATACCAGAAATGTGCAGAAACTGCTGTTCTAGCAAGCCATATACCAAGGAAGTGGAGAGGGATTTAAACTCAACAATGTGGGTGAAGGATCAAGCTGCAAATCAAGGGATAGAGTTGAGGCAGCAGAGGAAAGCACTAATATGAGAGATGAAAGTCAGTGAATAGCAGGAAGGGGTAGAGAGAAAAAAAATCGTAAGGAAACCCCAACAGTCAAGACAAAAGGCTCTGTATCTTAACGCGTAGCATTCGTAACAAGGTAAATTAAGTGATAGTGCACATTGAAGTAAATAATTATGATCTGACATACATTACAGAGACATGGTTACAGGTTGGCAAGGATTGAGTCCTGAATGTTGAGGAGTATCTGACATTAAAGAAAGATATGAAGCAGTAAAAGTTGAGGGATAGCACTGATAGTCAAAGATGGCATTGGTACAATAGTTCAGGAAGACCTCAATTCGGGAGATCAGAATGTAGAATCAGTTTGGGTGAAGATGAGAAATATTAGGGGAAAGAAGTCATTAAAAAAAGTTAACAATAGTAACTACAATATAAGACAAAGTATACAAGAAGAAATATTGTGCTCTTCTAATAATGCTAAGGCAATAATTATGGGTGATTTTAATCTACAGATAAACTGGAAAATCAGATTGACAGTAGAAGCCTGGATGAAGAATTCACAGAATGCTGTTGAGATAGTTTGTTAGAGCAGCATGTCTGAAACCATCCAGAAAGCAGGTTAAACTAGACTTGGTACTTTCTAATGAGACAGAATTAATGAATGACCTCAGAGTAAAGGGACCTCCAGGCAGCAGTAATCACAAATGACTGAAATTTATATGCAGCTTGAAATGGAAAAGTTGGGTCTAAGGCTAATATATAAAACTTAAATAAGGGCAACTGTGCGGCTGTGAAAGTTCAGGCTGAAATGAACTAGGATGCTAAGCTGGGGGATAAGTCATTAGAGAAGAGGTGACAGACATTTCAGCAGATATTTCAAGATCAGAATCAGTGTATTCCTGCCATGAAGAAGGGGATGATGTGTGATTTGTGTTTAACTAAAGGAGTTACGGGAATCATCAAGCTTAAGCAAAAAGCATATAATTGTGTAAAGATGCATCCAGGACAGTAGATTATAAAATGTAAAAAACAATAGAGAATGACTAAAGGGCGAATCATGAGAAATAAATTAGCACTTGAGAGAAAGCTTGTTAGAAACATAAAAACAAGTACCAAAAGATTTTACAGATATTTAAAATTGAAAAGGATAATTAAAATGTGATTTGGTCAAATAGAACTTGAGAATGAGGAATTAGGAGCAGATAACAAGAAAAAGATGGATGAAACGAATAAATATTTCACTTCTGTCTTCACTAATGAGGGTAAAAAAGAATCCAGCAATAGCTATAAATCAGGAGATGGAAAGAAGAGAAGAATTTGATGAAATTATAATAATTAGGAAAGCAGTACTGGGCAAACTTATGGAGCTGCAGACTGACAAACCCCAGGATCCTGATGGACTTCATCCTAATGTCTTAAAAGAAATGGCTAATAAGGTAGAAAATGTATCAGTGTTAACTTTCCAAAATTCTTTAAATTATGGACAGGGTCCATCATCCTGGAACACAACAGTAATAAGGAGACAGGCAAAAGGAAACTACAGGCCAGTCAACTTTTCCTCTGTCTTGTGGAAAGTGTTAAAACTAATCATTAAAGAGCTTATAGTTGGGCACTTGGAAAAGTTCAAAGTAATTAAGAAGAGTCATTATGGATTCGTGTACGGAAAATAATATTTAAACAATTGATTAGATTGTTTTTCAAGGAGTAACATGCACTATGGATGGGGGGGTGCATGTTAATATTTTATACTTGGATTTCCTGAATGCATTTCCCATGATGCCACATAAAAGAGTGTTGAACAAAGTAGAAGCACATGGTGTAATGGTTAACTTACTAGCATGGGTAGAAGAATGAGTGGCTGTAGGAAACGGAAAGTATGCATGAATAGGATTTTTTTCTGATTGGCAGGAGTGTAGTCCATGGATGTCTATGCTGAGGCTTTGGTTATTACTATATATACATATAAATAACTTAGATGAGGGGAGTGAAAGCATCATAGTTAAATAAGCAAAGTGAGTGGCCAAAAATCTAGCAGATGGAAAAATGTGAGAAAGTGTGAAATTGTTCGTGTTGGCCACAAGAATGAATAAACAGAGTATTAAGAGAACAACTGTAGAATTTGAGGAGCAGAGTGATCTAAGTGCTCTAATGTCTAAGTTCCATAATGTTAATTTACAGGTATAGGTCCACTTTCTCTATCGCTGACGTTTGGTAGTGGCAGTGTGAACTTTTTACAAGATGCACTGCAGAAATTCGCCAAGGCTCCTGAGACACCACCTTCCAAATCCACAACCACTTCCATCTAGAAGGACAAGGGCAGCAGTTACATGAAGATTCACTTCCAAGTCACTCACCATCCTGACTTGGAAATATGTTGCTGTTCCTTCAAAGCTACTGAGTCAAAATCCTGGAATTCCCTCCCTAAGGACATTATGGCTCTACCTAGAGCTTATGGAACTGCAGCAGTTCAAGAAGGCAGCTCACTACCACCTTCTCAAGGGAAATTAGAGATAGGCAATAAATGTTGATGCAGCCAGTGACACCCATATCCCATGAATGGATGAAAACTAAAGCAAGTAATAAAAAAGACTAATGGGATGGTATCCTTTATTACAAGAGGAAGTGAACAGAAAAGTCAGGATGTTATACTTCAGTTATAGGAAGCACTGGTGGGAGCACATCTCGAATACCATTTGTATGTTTTGGTCCCCTTATTTAAGTAAGGATGTAAATGCATTGGAAGCTGTTCGGAGGAAATTTACTAGATTGATACCTGGGACAAGTGGCTTGTCTCATGAGAATAGGTTGGACAGATGTTGACAGTGATGAATGAACTAAGTGAAGGATATAAGATGCTGAAAGATCATGACAAGGAGGACATGAAAATTATATGTTGAATTTTCCCAGACCCCAGCAACATGGGCAATGGTGAGTCAGTTGGGAAATATACTGAGAACAGAGGGTGACATTATCAACATCAAGAAAATAAAATCTGATATTCCACAATGAGTTTAACAGCTGGATGAGAATCTTGCTTATGAGCGATGAGAGGCCTGTTTGACTGCATTGATATCTCGTCATTACCTAATTTCACCACAATTATAGCCTGTTTGCTACTTTCCAAGACAGTAGAGAGGGAAACTAGATGGCTCTGCAGCACCATGGAGATGTGGCACATAATTATTGAAGTAAGCAGCATAAAATTAGGCAAGAAAAGATGCCAGGGCTCATGGAGAGAAACACATGAAACTCCCCAAAATTGACATTTTGCTGACTTTTAACAAAACCCTCAGACACTTCTTCCTTTCTCACCCAGACCATGACCCCACATCTGAACATCATCAAGCCATTGTTGCCAGGACTGTCACTGACCTCATTACCTTGGGAGATCTTCACCCCTCCCCCACTGCCTCCAACTTTGTAGTCTCCCAACCCCAACAGCCTGCTTCTACTTCCTTCCCAACATCCAACCAGACTGCCCCGGTAGGCCCATAATATCAGCCTGCTCCTTCCCCACCGAGCTCATTTCCTCCTACCTCGGCTCCATCCTCTCTCCCCTTGTCCACACCCTACCCACCTACATCCATGATTCCTCTGATGCCCACCACCATATGGACAATTT